TAACTAGTCATTTATTTTAAAAAAGAATAATAAACATTGATAACCATGTGATGGGAAAATAACTAAAACAGGATGGCAATGTCGGTTTCCTGTGTTGAATTATCCAATAAAAAATATTATTATAAAATAGAAAGTTTTTTTGTAACGTTTTTTGGTCTAACTCTAAAACTACAGGACCGATTTCGATGAATTTTAGTACAAAGATAGGTTCGGTATAAATCAGTTCATGGCTCAAGAAAAATCGTGTTCTCAAGAGTTTCTTGATCACTCTGCTTCATAGGAATCTATACTTTGGAACGAGCAAATAGCTTCACTAAGAAATTTACCGAGAGACTCATGTCGGAATACTGAAACGCTACTCAATTTTAAGTCGTGCGTAAGTATAGTTCTATCTCTACAGATTCTTTGTAAAATGACAGAGATGGCACGATATTTGAGCACGACTTAAAATTGAGTAACGTTTCAGTATTCCGGCATAACACTAATGTCTTTAAGATTAGATTTTTGACTTAGAAAAATTCACTATTGGTATCTAATTAAAATAAATCATGTCGACATTGACTTTAATTAACTGACAGACACTTCAGATACCTATTCGTTTTTCAACTTTGAAAAGTGCGTTATTAGTCTTTATTTTGAATATACACAATGGCGTTTAAAAATCACACTTATAGACAACAAATAAACTAAAAACCACCACCTTAAACCCCACTAAAGCGATACAAAACAAAAGCCTAGTTCTTTAAAAGATAATGATTCAAATTTGTATAAAAAAGCCGTGCGAGAGTCACGACCTCTCTTCATGAGGTGTAATTTTGACCACACATGAATCACGATTATAAACCACGATTGAAAACCGGACGATATTGAAGATCTAACGAAAAACCGATACTGTATAGTTGTTAAGACATCCTGTATAGTTGATTGTTACTTTTTAAACTACGTAAGGACGTTAATAGGGAGCTTAGTAAGTGGGACTAAGACATGTCTAACTAAGTGTGTATAAAATGATATTTATCTCTGTAAAAATGTGTCAGCAAAGGTGCTAGTAGCGTCTGGCATTTCCTATTTAAGTACTCTGAGAAAAAACACAGAAAAAAATTCAGGGGTACCACCATATGTAAGTACTTATTTTGAAATCACGTTTGGTAATCGTATCGAGTTTCCGTCCAAATCGATCCTAATCGATTTAGTATTGAGACAAGTTATTAATTTCGACCGCAAACTAACGTCTTTAAAGTGATTTATCCGGCACAAACAAAAACAGATTCTAAAACAAACAAAAAAAAAACAAATCACATGTAAAAATCTCAGTACCAGTACCAACCTACAAACAAAAAAAAAGCGCCAACATCTGTTAAAAACCAATTGTTTCAACATCGAATAATTCACTAAACCATAAAAAAAAAAAAAATCGTTACTCACAAAGTCACTAAAAATATTTGCAAAAAAATTCCGACACCAGATGTACGAGTTCTGAATTCCCAGCCAAAAATTGTAAGACCATTAAGTTCCTAACACATCTGGTCTATTGTCTGTGGTCGCCGGAAATAGGGACCAGCCTTAAGGATGTAAAGGCGGAATAGGGATGAAAACATCTGGTGCCCAATTGATCTATTGTCTAAGTAACAAATTGCGATTCGTTTAAGAAAATAGGGAAAAATATTTTTGGTTTTGTTGTAAGTACTTACAAAATTTTACAAAAAAATACTTTTTAATCCTCGAAGGAGTAGGCAGAACACGTATACGATTAATCTACAAATTGTAGTAGTAAAACATAGTTATAGCTAAAAAAATTATGTTATGTTTTTTTTAGTTTTGTTTTTCTCCACGGACACTTGTCCGTGCCCTGATTGTGTATGTTTAAACGCGCTAATCTCAGAAGATACTGTTTCGAATTGAATAATTCTTTTTGTGATGTATAGTCCATTTATCGAGGAAGGCTATAGGCTATAAACCATCAAGCTACGACAAACAGGACCCGAGCAGCGAGCGAAAATTCGCAAGAGTAGGTAGTGTAAATTCACTGAGATAATTTTTTGTCACAAAGCCTTTCGGAATCCGATTGTGTTTTGTTTTTTCGATTCTTGAGTTCCGAAATATTATGACAAGCTATTGTAAGTACCTACTAAAATTACTTTTTAATAATGTTAATAACAATTACTATAAATTGTGAAATATGTATTTAAATGTGCAAAAGCCAGTGAATGTTCATTTGACCTCTTAAAGAAGATGAAGAAATTGATACAAATAATTTGCGTAATACAAAGAGATTGCTTTGTAATTTCACATCAATAGTCTACTATAGTCCATTGCTGGACTATGAGCCTCCTCTACATAAGAAGGGTTTGCCATAATCTTCGCTTTCAGATTAGAAATCGCAGTATAAAAGGTTCAGGTTTATCAGAGAGCGCTGCTGCCCGGTCTCTGTCAAATGTGTAGTCCCATAGTCAGATATACGATCCCGCGGAAAGGGTAGGAGTGGCTGCTGTAACCACATGGTAAGTACACACGGTTACACATCGAGCTTTACATAATTAATATAAACTGAACGTTAAATGTGCGGAAAGATGATGCGACGCGACACCAGGATAAACTGGTTTTGTATAGATTGATGTGTGGCCGTGTGTACTATTGCCTGATATTTCCTTATATTTTATTAATATGATGCAATATAAATGCAACATATTTGATTGAGGATAACATAAAAAAATGTTAAGGAAAAGCATTATATTCTTTCCTGTGGTTTTTACCCACACAATCCATTTCTATACAACATCATGTCTCATTGGCCGAGTGGTCGCAAGTGCGACTGCCGGGAAAGGGGTCTGAGGTTCGATTCCCGGGTCAGGCAAAGTATTACTGGGGTTTGTAGAAACCTCAGTAGTAGCACGGAGTCTGGAAATGTGCCCGGTATATGGCAATAGGCTCACCCCCTATTCCCCCTTTTCACTGTTTATGTAATAAAACAGTGAAAAGTGGGTGTTACATTGTACAGTGGCATTAAGTGCCGTAATGTGCATCTCTGCCTACCCCTCGGGAATAAAAGGCGTTATGTTATGTTACATCATCATGCGTACAGCCACGTACAGTCAACTGCCTCCCACAGTCCTCCGCCCAATGACTACACACCGAGTTTGGAAGCAACCTACAAACAGCGACTGTCTACCCCATTTCTAAGTGCATTACTGGCCTTTTTGGGGGCAACGCACCAACAAATGCAAGAAGACATAGGCTAAAGTACAGATATACAATGTAACACCCACTTTCACTAATCATGTCATGAGTCACATGTAATAGGGGGTGAACTGCAGTCATCAGTGAACAATTAAGACTATACTAATCACTTATAGGTACGGAGCCGATACGGAGCCGTGGACAACGTTAAAGGATGCCGGGGCTCCGGCTCGAAGTGCAGGAGAAGGAACGGGGTGGTTTTCAGTCAGTAAGAGTCTGACACATCCCGCCTCACAAAGATGGGAAAAGTCAAACGAAGATTGCCCCCCACAAAGTCTGAAGACCCTTTGAGACCACTCCAGCAGAGGTTTTAATATTAGCATACATTTTCCATCACCAAGCAAGGTGCAAGACAGGTGATCAGTAAACTAGAAACAAAAAAACAAAAGCAAAAACGTCTATATTCGGTCAAATAATTAAAGGCAGGTGGCACGCGCCATATGTATTTTTTTTTAACAAAAACTAAGTAAATTTTGAATGAAAAATTGCCGTGATTTATATAGTTTTTACACTACCAACTATATCGGTAGTAACAAAGCTTACAGCTCGTCTGATGGTAAGCAGACACTGTAGTCTAAGTACACCTGAAATACTAGATTCTAGAGGTATTAAGAGTGCGCTTTCGATCATGTAGAAAACTGTCTAATACGCTAAAGTACCCTTTAGCTTTGCAGAAGGCCGTTTTTTAAGGGGGAAAATCATCGAATGACTGCTCCCGCCCGGGTGAGGCGGGAGGGAGTGTCAGACTCTTACTGACTAAAAACCACCCCGTTCCTTCTCCTGCACGTCGAGCCGGAGCCCCGGTTACCCGTTAGGTTCTTCGCGACCTGCAGAAGACCTAACGGGTTACCGGACCTCCGGCTGGAAGCAGAACTAGGAACAGGCTAGTTTATAGCAAGTAAAAATCTGACACTTTTTCTCGCCACACCTAGAAGTTATTGAATGATCCCCTCCCTCAAAACAAGAGTACTCTAGCCTCTAAAATTCATACACCAGTTCCTATAGAGGCGCCGGTTAAGAGATATAACAAAAAAACTGTAGCAAAAAATAACCCAGCCAATTTTGTAGGCAATTTTTTTTGCTAATCATAGGTTTTGTGATTACAATTCAATGTTACGATACGGCATTTGATTTTTATTACTTTAACGTGATTGTAAAATATACCCATAAAGTCAGGGCTGACCAGAAACCAAAAAACAAAAAAAAATTGTAGGCATTTTCGCCCTTCATAACTGTAGAAAAACGTTTTCCATCTAACATTTGTACATTTGCCTATAAGGCGTGATGTTATGTCCAAATATTTAAATAGTAAGTTTAATATTAGCTTAACAAACATACTCAACATGTCGTTTTCTTCAGTTCACACGCAAACACTTAAAAATACACTAAACTCCTACTTTTTCTCAATCGCTAACAAAAAAAAATCATAAACACAAACTGCCTGAACTCTAAAAGCAAGAAAGACTTCAAAGAAACTGTCGCTAAGTAAAATTGTAATGTTAAATGTAAAAAACAAAATCATGAGGGTACCTCCATAACGTACGTAGATAAAAATCGTTTTCAACATGAATTGGACCGTTACAAACCAAGCCGATGTAATAACGACCATATTTGTATAAATAGGGCCATACAACACCATAAAACTATCATTAAAAATAATTTATAAACGGAAAAAATAGTACTATGATTTTTAAAAAATACTATTTTTCGTATACCCTCATTGAAAATTAAAAAAAGCAATAAAAAAACCGTTAAAAACTCACCCAATCCGATTTTTTTCTTAATTTTCTTGAGGACCTTCATTTTGGATCCCTTTTTATCCTTTACAGGGGTTGTTTCTGGCTCTAAGGCCATAGGGGGGAGTACGAGCGTTTGAGGGGGCATTTGTACCCCATGGCCCGAAGCCCTAGGGCACGCGGGGCAGTGACAGGAGCCCCTAGCCTGCCTCACGCTCATACAACCACTAACGCCCATCATCGAAAAGGTTACAATCCAAATAAACCGTCGAAAACAAAAGAAAATATTATATCATAATTATTTTAAACACCGTAAAAATTAAGAGTACACGATAATCGAAATGAACGCACGATTGAGTAACGAATTAATTACGAACTCGCGATATCCATAACGCACTTTACGAACGAAGTTTGGACGTGACACGTCCGCACGCGACGCGATCCGGCGGCGGAGTGAGTGACGAGCGTTGCACGTTCTACGCGAAGCAAGGGCTCTGGGAAAGCTGCGTGCGCATCTACAGCCCTTACGTCTTCTCTTTCTTTTTCAAATGTTAAAGTGAGATAGATGCTAAGTAGTGGGAGAATGTCAACAGATAGGTATTTTCAGATCAGGCAGATGCAGAGGACAAAGGGATGGTTTGTGAAAAGTTAATTTCAAATGTCATTTAGAAATATGTAGTAAGTAAGTAAGTAGGTACTTGAAGCTCTTTGTTCGGGCATAAAGGTGTTAATTTGTGGTTGGTCATATATTAATGTGTAACGCGAAATGTTCCGCTGTTTATAATGGCTGTTTAGACTAGTTTGAAAGTCTAAGATACGATTATTAATTGAGTTTGTTACTGGCGTTGCTATCTTCCATGTTCCAATTATAGGCCCCTACATAAATAGAACAAATTTTGTCAAAAAATTGTCTTTTTGGGCACCGCCAAACTTCTTACTGTACTAACTCTACTTACAAACAACATAATAGGAATGATTAATACTATTTTTAAGTATGACATTACCACAAGATTTAGGCTAGATTTTCATTTTCACAAGATTTAGATTTTTACATAATGATTAATTAGAAACAGAAACTGTCTCGTTGGTAGAATGGTATGACTGCGAAGTAGAGTTCAACAATTTTTATTTTTGTTTTAGTAATAGCAGAATTTGGAAATGTGTCCGGTACATGGCTATATACTTACCCTCTATTACATGGGACTCATAACATGAATAGTGAAAGGTGGGTGTCACATTGTGTATATCGAATTGTGGACGTTTATGTACTTATGTAAAGTTATATAACCCTTTATAGAAACCCATTTTTAAAGAAATATCGAAATCATCATCATCAACAGCCTACAAGTGGCCATTACTGACCAAAGGCCTCTTCTCACACGGAGGTTTGAGCATTAATCACCACGCTATCTCAATGCGAGTTGGCGATTTCAAACTTATAATTAGAAACTATAAGCTCAGGTTTCCTCACGATGTTTTCCTTTACCGTTTGTCAGTGGTGTCTGAATAATCTTAGAAAGTACATATAACTCGGAAAAAGTCACATTGGTACTTGCCGTTGGTAGGTTTCGAACACACACTCTCATGTATGAAAAGCGCCCGTCTTAAACCTCCGGGCCACTACGATTTCGCAATCAAAAAGACCCTAGTAAAGATTCAAATCTTAAACTAAATTATATTATACTAGCGATCCGGCCCGGCTTCGCACGGGTGCAATATGCATGTATTATACCTACATATAAACTTTCCTTAAGAATCGCTATATCTATTAAACTGCATCAAAATCCGTTGCGTAGTTTTAAAGATCTAAGCATACATTGGGACAGTCAGACGGCGGATAGCGACTTTGTTTTATACTATGTAGTGATTATCCAGTTCAACATGGCACCTGCTATCAAATTGTCGTAAGCAGTGATGTCACCCTCCTAATAGGAGCCGCTTAATTTCTCCAATTTAATAATTAATCGTGTCATAAGGTTAACAGTTTCCTTTTGGCAAGGGAAGCTGGTGTTTGGTATTAGGGTCGGTCCTAATAGGAGTCGTAACGTAATTGAATTGGTGTGTGCGAAATGAGCACTTTTTAAGTATTTACCTGGGGGCTTACGCTTGTATCCAATTCCGATCGATCGACATTGGTATTATGAAATTTCGTACTCTTGAGTTGCAACACTAGCGCCCATTGCATCCGTATTGCGTGGATATTGATTGAACTAAATGGTATTGAGTTTGGCTTTATATTCCGTACTCTGAATGCCATTTAACAGCTACCATTGGGGTTGTATAGTGTTGACATTGAATCATTATTGAGATTTTATTGGATTGAAATTGCATTGACATTGAGATTGGTTTCACGAGTAAGCACCCTGGTCCTAAAATAAAAACTGAATACCTACTAACGTACTATCTACTTTTATACCTTACGACTCATACCATAAATAATAAAAAGTGGGTGCCGTATTGTGCACCTCTGCCTACCCCTTCGGGGATAACAGGCGTGAATTTATGTTTTGTGTGACATATTTCTGAGTCAAATTTGAAAAATAAATACTATATTCATTGAATTTGGGATCAGTGTGTCTAAAATATTGTTATTATTGTATATTTGGTAAATAAACTACTTAAGTTAGGTAATCAAAAAAAGAAAAATAGTTAAAGGGCGTTTCTTTTTTGTTTTTTTTTAGTTTTACAGTTACCGTGGGCGTCATTTTGAAATCAACACTAAAAATTAAATATTTTAATACCCGCTCATTTCCTCCTATCCATTTGTTCGACAAAAATATTGGAATTGATCTGTTTTATAACCCCATACGAGATTATAGTCCAATTATAAATCACCTATATATAAGATTTTTAGGGTAGGTTATCTATTGAACATCAAAGTCAAAGTCAAAATCACTTATTACAATTAGACCAGCAGAAAGGCACTTTTCAATAGGGTCACCCCCTATTATATAGGACTCATAACATAAATAGTGAAAAGTGAATGTTACATTGTACAGTGTCATAATGTACACCTCTGCCTACCCCTTCGGGGATAACAGGCGTGATGTTATGTTATATAATGAAAGCACTTGTGAACGTCAACAAAAAATTTAAAGTGAAGCTTTTTGCTCATTCCAAGGTGTACATTCCTATGGAGAAGAACGAGCAAGAAACTCCATAGGTTACTCTTTTTCAATCAGGTTCACAATACATAAACGGTACGTTGACCACCGAACACCTCTTTTCCCGACCCGGGTATCATACACAACACCATTTACTCGCCACAGATAATTAAAACGATATTATAACAGTACCCAACAAAGGAACAAAGGTCACCGTGCCTTAATCCTAATCTATTTAAAAAAACAACTTTGACAGATGCGAAAGAAATTAGAGGGAGGGGCCTAAAGACGCATGCGCGGAACGCAAGGTGCGTCCACGCATCTGGCAATTTGCAATGTGGCTCGCGACGACATATTTTGTGGGGGAATAATAATAATTAATGCACTTTCTACTAAGTCTAGGGTTATTCTGGGTAGCCCTTTGTCTTTTAAAGAACCTTGGAGAAAATAATGTCTTGACGTTATAACCCTTTTTAAGGGGATAAAAATCATCCAATGACTGCCTCGCTGGCCGAGTGGTCGCAAGTGCCAAGGGTTTCGGGTTGGGCAAAGTAATTATTACTGGGTTTTTAAAGAAAATCTCAGTAGTAGCACGGAGTCTGGAATTGTGCGGTATATGGCAATAGGCTCACCACCTATTACATGGGACTCGTAACATAAATAGTGAAAAGTGGGTGTTACATTGTACAGTGGCATAATGTGCACCTCTGCCTATGGGTGATCGGGTGAAAATTAGTAACAGGGATAGATTGTGGTCTAGAATAACATATAGGCTACTTTTTATCCCCCGGGAATGCGAACGAAACCGCGGGCATAAACTATTAAAGTTATAAAGGCACTCGCGATGTTTGTTAACTATGTTAAATATTTAATAACAATTAAATAAAACAACAAATAACTTTGAAGAGACAACGAAACAAATTCTATATTTATAACAAAGGACATTCAAGTAATGTTTGTTTTAAAATTAAAACATAACAAACTCTTGTTAGTTTGTATATATCAGCATTTCTCAAGAACGGCTGGACAGACTTTCATGGTTGCTTTGTTGTTTCTGTTTTGAATAGCAGAATATTATCGCAATGTCCAAATTGGGTAGATTCCTGTGTCAAAAATAAACATAACATAACATCACGCCTTTTTATCCCCGAAGGGGTAGGCAGAGGTGCACATTTCGGCACTTAATGCCACTGTACAATGTAACACCCACTTTTCACTAATTATGTTATGAGTCCCATGTAATAGGGGGTGAGCCTATTGCCATATACCGGGCATATTTCCGGACTCCGTGCTACTACTGAGATTTTTAAAAACCCAGTAATACTTTGCCAGACCCGGGAATCGAACCCGAGACCCCTTACCCGGCAGTCACACTTGCGAGCACTCGGCCAACGAGGCAGTCAAAAATAAATTATTTAGATTTTTCAGTCCAATTAAATACTGAAAAATGTTACACTTTCATTCATTGATTTGCCGATATACTTAATTTTCGATTTATTCTAGCATTTTTTTTTTAGATATAAGTGTGCTGTTGGACGCGAAAATATGATGACGTCATAAGCTAGTATTTCGTACAAAATTCATAGAACAGTATCGTGTTTGACGTTTCAATAAAATTATTGAATTTGACAAGTTGTCAACTACCGTATTATACGAAAAAAAATATGAATTAAAAAATAATGGAGCAATGTTTATATAAAAAAAATAAGATACTTTTATTCCCTACCTAACTATTTTGAGAAGAGACACCAAAACAAACTCAGAGGACATACCTAGTCTAATAGAAGGTAATGTAGTGTATTTTCGGCTAGTTGTGACTGCCTCGTTGGCCGAGTGTTCGCAAGTGCGACTGCCAGGCAAGGGGTCTCGGGTTCGATTCCCGGGTCGGGCAAAGTATTACTGGGTTTTAATTCTCTGTAGTAACCTGTGTAATTCTCAGTAGTAGCACGGAGTCTCGAATTGTGCCCGGTATATGGCAATAGGCTCACCCCCTATTACATGGGACTCAACATGAATAGTGAAAAGTGGGTGTTACATTGTACAGTGGCATAATGTACACCTCTGCCTACCCCTTCGGGGATAAAAGGCGTGATGTTATGTTATGTTATGTTGTGGACCCTAACCTACAAAACAAAAC